CCGATGGGAATCGTTGAGTTCCTCGATGGCCTTACACGTGTCAGCAATTCGAATGCCGTTGGCTTACCTTTTCGCCGTGAACTTTATTCTTCTAGAAGAAAATGTCACGAACAAATCAATGAAATAATTCTCTTTAGTATAATTGTACTTAAAGGAAGCGTATTTTATCTTCAACCACGTAAAATCATTTGTGAAGTATGTTACCATCGGATGAAATAAAGTTGTTTTTATCGAAGCAGTTTTGCGACAGGAGATCGTTATCTAATATCGCGAGATCGTGAAATTAGATCGTTCATTCCTATAGGAAAATAAATTCGAAAAACTGATCGACATTCTCCGCAAGCGTAACATCCACGAAAGATAACATAAATATAAACCACCTGACAATATTTCATAATAATTTTATCTTGTAACACGCGTAATAGACTGGTGCAATAAATTAGAACTGTTTTTCTGGAAATATAAGCTTCGTGTAGTCCAATGCAATCCAAGGGCAAAGTACTCTGAAAACTTTTCAAACATTATCCTTATCGCTATGGTATGAAAATGCTTCTTTGTAAACAAGAAATTCTACTCAACGAAAAATTCATTAGTAAGGTAATAAACACGTTAACCCTAGAACGCTAACTTGGGGAGTACAGTGCCCCGAGGGATTCGGATGACTAATGAACTGTAGAAAAGTATGTTCTTTCACAGTTACATACGTTTCTTTTTATATTGTCGCTTTAAAAATGTCGTCAGATGTAAGTATCCGTTTATTTCAAATAAGCAATTTGTAAAAAGGGACACTTCAAATAAAATTAGTCGAGAGAATGCAAATATTGGTTTTTAGTACAGTTAGCGATGGGCGTTTGAATTTCAATTTCGTAGCGATTCGAAGTTTTTTAATACTGTGAAAATTCGAATCAATTCGAACCTAATTCGCTACTTAACCCTTAACAGGTCATGTACCGTCTGTGAGATTGCTTCATCTGTAAATCTACCCGACACTTGTTAAATTTGCTACCCTAAGTTCATATTTTACTTCATGGTAATGGTATTACGGCATTTTTTTACCAAATTCATGCGTTTCTTTTTGTAACTGAAATCTCTGAATGTGCCAATGCAAAAGAGAAATGTTTAAGCTCACTTTCTGTCGAGTTCCAAACAAGTTTGTAACAATTTCGCGTTTCTATCCGTTCCTAAAAATATCAGTCTCACAGACGATAAATGACCGTTTAAAGGGTTGACACTCTCGACTTAGGGAAAAGACCGGGTAAAAGTAAATTAAACGATAAGTAGAAGTAAACGATGTAAGAAAATACCTAAAAGAAAATTCCCCGTTTTCCCTTGTTCCAGGCAAGAAGCTAAAATGTCCGTTCTGCGAAAGACTGTACGGCTACGAGACGAATCTGCGCGCTCATATACGGCAGCGTCACCAGGGCATTAGAGTGCCGTGTCCATTCTGTTCACGGACGTTCACACGGAACAACACTGTCAGACGGCACATTGCACGGGAGCACAAAACCGAGCTGAATATGAAGGCCTTCCAACAGTCGAATCACTCGATGTCGGACACGGTGCCACAGTAACGACGTCCTCGTCGTCATCGTCGTTATCGTCGTCATCGTCGTAGTCGGCGTCACAACGGCATTGAAACCAGCAGCCCTGTGACTACTCGAGTTACCTGCCAGTGGCATGTAAACGAAAAGACCACAAAGCTGGAACGAGGAAGAAGCAGCCACGAGGGCGAAGGTGGACACCTTTGCTCTCTGACATTGGTCAACGCCATCCCCATCCCGTCCGAGTGAAACCCTCGAGAGAAACTCGTCTCTCCCTGCGATTGACACCGTTAGAGAAATCCAGCGGCAAACTCTTTGACCGCGAAAGTCGACAAAGGGGAGCGACATGCTGCGCCTCGTTTCGACAGTTGTCGATTAACGATTCAAACTGCGACCGTCTTGGCTCCTATCGGCGCGATCTGAATTCGCTGAAATCGCCACCGAAGCGTGCACTCGCGGAACAGTGCGAAAGGTCCAGCTGGGAATTTGTGATTTGTAACAGAAGATACACCGTGTTCACGAGTATTCGCCTATGCAGTTCGTTTCACGATCTTTCATACTTATTAAAGGAATTTCGATGTTAGAAATTAGCTACGGTGATTTTCGTTGCAAATTCTGTCACGGTTTTGGGTAAAGCGAAGAAATGAATTAGACGGATACTCGTGAATTCTTTCGAAGCTCCACTGAAGAGTTTCTTTAACCCTTTGGTTGCTACTGTTTCGAAAATTTGCTCGCATTGTACTGTTGGAGCCTCTCGGTTTCCACCCTAATTCCGAAGCTACGGCCAGAATTTGTCTGTCACACACGTTGTACATTCAAATCTACCGCAGCGAAGGGGTTGAGCTCGCTTACGGTTTTACGCCGATTCGAGTGATTTTTCTTTATCTGTCGCCGCAAGTGCACCGCTCTTGTCGCTTTTTCGCGTACGAAAATCGTGTGTTTTGCCGCGAGACTGGTCGCAGAAGATGTACGACGTTGCGTGGACTCGGACGAGGCAGGATGAGGCATTGACTGCGAAGTAGGAAAATTGTCCCGGTGATCACGAAACAAAGGAGGAGGAGAAATATTCGAAAGGAAATGGACGAGTTGAGAGAAAGAGAGAGAGAGAGAGAGAGAGAGAGGAGGTATGAGATAAATAGAAGAAACAGTGAAGCTTGGGAAAACGTCGACGTCCGATTGCTCGCGTAGCTAGCACAGAGGTTACGAGGTGGAGGGGATATATGAACGGACACGCTCGCGGATATATACGCTGGATAATCACAAAACTAGTCAATGAAAGTGCAACGTCAAGTAAGAATTATTAACTATAACAAAGAAATAACAAAAAACGAAAAAAAAAAGAACACTTTTTAAAGAAGATGCGCGATAGAGAAAAGGAGCAACAGGGAAAGAAGATTTCGAAAACCGAGGGTTTAAAAGAAGAAGAAGAATATAATTGCGAATTAGTTTGAAAACACGTTGAAAAACACAGATTCACGGACGAACATGAAAGAATAATAAGCAAGTACGTAAGATTACTACGAAAGAAAGAAAAGAAGAAAAAAGACGCATATCTCAGGTGAATCGTATATATTTACAATAAGCTCTGGATAGTTCTCAAGAAATTCTTTTCTTTTTTCTCGTCTTTTTTTGCTTTTTGTTTCATTACTGTATTTTTTTTTTTTTTTGTGTATTTTTCTCTCTTATTCTTCACCGTATTATTCGTGCCACGACACGCCACGTTCGAACGATCAGGATCGTTCTAACGTGGCGGTTACGCACGAATTCATGATTAATATATACATATAAATATAGCATATATATGTAGAAGAAACGGTGCAAGCGCTGTTTTCTTCTTCTTCTTTTTTTTTTTTCTTTTTTGTTTGCGAGGATAGGTTTAAAACCGGAAGAAGCGTCTACTTACTGCCGCTACCTTACTTTATTACGATAGTAAACAGAAACGGTTACCGACGGATTTATATTATGCAACCGCATCACCGCACCCGAAATACGTTGTTACGTTATACTTTACCGATTATTACAGAGAAATAATGCTAACCGGGTACTATTTATTAACTGTTGATGTCGAGAGCCTTATAATAGGATCTTAGACACTGGTGATATACTAAACGCTTTCTTTCTTTCTTTTTTTTTTTTTTTTTTTTTTTTTTAACATTTACGTTCACATTAGTGCCAAACAGAACAGAGATAACCGACAATCGAACAAAAATCCCTTTTTAACGCTGGATTTATAGACAATTTCACAATAGACAATCGACCATTTTCTATTTTTCATTTCTTTTTGCTATCAATGTTCTCCACCGAAGACGCTGAACAGAGGCAAAGAACACGCTTATCCATATGGAAACATATCCGGAAGTGAGAATGGTGCATTTCACGTATTACGCAATTCACCGACGCATACACATATTTTTCTCCATTGTTCTTTCTGTCTTTTTTTTTTTTTTTGTTTCTTCTCTTTTCTTGTTTTCCATTTGTACAGATATATACCGTTTTATAAAAGGTTTATGAGATTATTACTACAATGATATAGAACGGACAGGCTGTCGAGTTACCATATAGAATATATCGTAAATGTCACGTGTGTCGATTCTTCTTGGTGAATGCGTTCGTTCAAGCGTCGGGTGGTTACGCGCGGCACACAAAATGAGATAATTAAGCAATAATTATTACGTCACACAGAACGAAGAAACGGATCTTTCCTTTTTGCACGAGCGTCGTTTACATTTTTTTTTTTTTACACGTCTCGAAACTCAGCCGATCCAGAAGATCCCCTGTTTCTCGTTGACAAGTGTTCTCTGGTGAAAATTGAAGGTGTTTCACAGGTGTAACACATATACATGTGCAAACGAGATCGAAGATAATATTTTTGTTTGTTTTTCGAAATACACGTTGAACCGCTTGAAAGATGAAAGAAAGCTTCGCATTCGCTCGGAAAAATCGCAAACGTTGACGCGTTGAAACGTCACGCGGAACAATCACTACCACTTTGTTACCTGTTTACAATGTTTAAAACGCGGACTTTTGTCCGAAGCAATAGTCGCGGATTGAGATAATATAAAAATAGGGGATAATAAATAATAAATAATGGATAAATGATGAACCAATAGAGAACCCAGGATGAACAAAAGATGATGAGCATAGGGAATAATTATCGCTAGACCGGTTGTGTAGGATACGATCAATGCAATAGTTTATTATTACAATTATACCTATAGATAGATATATAGATACTCCTAGTCAGGATGGCACCACGATATTACTTGTTGCAGTATTTCACGCGTTTATATTACAGACTCTTCTATTCTCTTTTACTTTCTTCCCGCCCCAACCACAATATATCTCTTCGTTCTCTCCTCCCACTACATTTTCTTCTTGTTTCTTCCATTCGATATATACATATATTTTTTTTGTATTTATTTTACACTATCGTTTCCTCCACCCCTCTGTCACACTTTCTCGTATTTTTCCTTCTTGTTTGTTCGTTACGTTACAGAGAGAAAAAAAAAAGAAAGTTTAACGACGCGAGTTATCTCACAACGATACGCCTACCGTTTTTAAGGTATCAAAGACAATAGTTAATAGAGGATTATTTAGTATTTAAAAACGGTCATACATAATATATCCTAGAGGAAGAAGAAAAAAAATAATATTTCTCTTTTCTCTCTTCCCTTCCGATTCGTTGTCACGTTCTTCCTCCCCTTACGTATACTTCTCTCGTTCGCGTTTGTTCTTTCCTCTTTTCTACTTTCCTCTCTTATTATTTTCTCTTCATCGTCGTCTTTTTCTTCTTCTTCGTTTTATCTGTTTTCATTTTTTTTTTTTTTTTTTTTTTTATTTTTTTTTTTTTTTTTTTTTCAAAATCGCGGCCACGTGTCGGCCGCGTGTTCTGCCAAATGACGATACGTATGACAGTACTACCTCATCGTTTTTTATAAGGACGCATACAAATCACAGGGAACACTTAGAGACCACGAATATAGAATATTAACACCTGTACATTCCGTACAGCCGCTACTACTCGTCTGGTTAGTGTTGGAATTATTCTCCTGCTGTTATGCCCTTGGAAATAAGGGTAACGAGCGTTGATCTACGGCGCTTCTCGTGGAAACTCCGTCGCCCCTCGTCGTCCATCCATTCTTTCCATTCTTCAAGCATTTTACCAATCAACGTGACCGTGTTGCTCGTAGAATATTCAACAATGGAAGACGGTTGATTGTTCCTCCGTGAAGATCGTACAAATTGCATTTCCTTCGGACTTTCGCTTTCAACACTTCGCGCTCGAAGCTCTTCTCAATCGGATCCGAAACGATCTTAGAGAAATGATCGATCGGTCGAATGTTCACCGGAAAATAAATGGACTATCTCTAACGAATTTGAGCGCAGAGTGATCAGGTTCGAAGGATTGACTCGTACAAAGCTGCATATTGATCAATTTTTAACCCTTTGCAGTCGAAGCTTTTTTAATCAACGATTGCGCGAACTGCATTTGCAAAAAAATGAGATGGTAACCTTTTCTTTTCGTTTTAGCTAATCGATGAATATTCACCGGGAAATAGACAGAATATTTGTAACGAATTCGAGTGCAAAGTGGTTAAGTTACATATTAGTCGAGGAATTTCCAATTAGCGAGAAGCTCCACAGATCACGACCACAAGTGATATTTAAGCTCTACATATGATTATATAATAGATCCGTTTTTTTACGAAGCCGTATTATTGCACACGTACAACTATTATATTGTATAACCGACGACTGTGTAAGCACACGTGAGTAGTGTGAGTGTGAAAAGTACGCGCGCGCGTATAATGTGTGTGTGTGTGTGTGTGTGAGACTGTGCGCGTGCTTGCGAGACGGTGTGCCTGACTGCGTGACAATTCTGCTGAGACGTTTTTAAACCTTGGTGTGAAAAAACTGAATCGCGGCGATCATTTTCAGAGAGACACCGAGAAATGTGCGACGAGAAAGATTCACGTGAATTCGAAGAGAAAGAGGCGGGGGGGGGGGGGGGGGG